ACAAACTCCCTATTACATGGGACTCATAACATAAATAGTGAAAAGTGGGTGTTACATTGTACAGTGGCATTAAGTGCCATAATGTGCAGTGATGTTATGTTATAATGATATTTGGGCGATTCGTTGGTGTGTTGGTGCTACAAGAGCGAATGCTGAGCATTAATATATATATATTTTTTAAGGGGGTAAAATCATCGATTTACTGCTCCCGCCTGGGTGAGGCGGAAGGGAGTGTCAGACTCTTACTAACTAAAAACCACCCCGTTCCTTCTCCTGCACGTCGAGCCGGAGCCCCGGTAACTCGTTAGGTTCTCCGCGACTCCGAATCGGCATCAGCCCTGTTGAGCCCCATCTGTGGTGGTCTGATGGCTCTTTGAGGCGCGCGCAATATTTATTAATTTAGGTGTGATTTAGAGCTGTAACTTAAGGTAGTTGCCGATTGAAAAAAAACAAGGAATAAAGCCAAGTGTCTGTAGACTAATCTTTCAACTTCTTGTATTTAACAGCAATAGAATCAGTATATACATATCAGTCATAACAGTATATGTCTGCTCATCCCTTTCTAGAACAAGTATTAACTCTAATTACCATCTAAAGTCTAGCATATATCTACGTACTATCTCCTCTACTCGCGTTACTAGCATATCAAGCATAAGTCCTAATAGCTACTAAAGATTTACGATAGCATTATATCCTTCATATTCATGTGAATTGGTATCTAGAGCCATCCTGAACATTAAACTTTAACGTTTCAGATGACGCGTAAAAGTATCGAGAAAAATAAGATCACCCATTGAAGATGCTTTACGAAACGATGTAGGGTTGTGCTGGTGTGTTTAAATTAATGTTGATTTGTCGATGATTTAAAAACAATACACAATTGATATTACTTGTAAAACATAATCTACTATTAAGTAGAATTTCTTTTTTACGGACCAAAAATGAGTTATTGTTTTTGGCACAATGTTTTTTTTGGGTAAAGCCGGTGAACGAGCAGACGGGTCACCTGATGGTAAGCAATCGGCACCGCTCATGAACACCCGGAACACCCGAGGCGTTACAAGTGCGTTACCGGCCTTTTGAAGATTAGGAATTTGAGGATCGTTGGGGATTTAGGATTTGGGAAGATTGGGTAGGGGGTTTGATTAGGGGGGGGGAGGAATGTAGAAACGTGAAAAAAGCTACCTTATAAAATCCAGTTGAACTTACCTTATTAGGTGTTCAATATAAAAAAATACATTTCATACTTTGGAGCCAAAAAAGTCACTGATATATCCAATATCCACTCTACGCTACATCAAGAGAGAACTTAAAACTAATACAAACATAAAATTCTATGACCATTTACAACAATGAAGTAAAAAATATATCGATACTTTAACTTCAACAAACAAGAACACTCTACTCATATATCGATAGAATGTTGCTTAATAATTTATTTACTTCCCCTCCCTAATTTACGGCTTCGTTCTTGCGACATAATACTTTTTTGAGCTCAATTACTATACGGGTTGAAGGTGGAATTTATGGATCGTGTCTCTTAAGAATATTTTATTAAAAATGTGACACTATTTATGTCGCAGAAGCTCTGTAATTAGGTATGATATACATAATGTATCTTGTTGCCAGGAGCTATTTAAGGGAGGACCATCTAATCCTAAATTTAATGTACTTTGGCCAAAATACTCAAAATATTTAGAACTTATCTTTAAATTTCCGCTCATGAGTAAGAGCCCTGACATTGTTTGAAATCAGTCAAGTGACCTTGTCAAACTTCAGGTAAGCTGCAATATGTATCTAATAAAATGATCAGTTCTGTTGTTTATTTTATACGTGCATATACCGAACACAATATCTTGAAGGTCGAAAACTGGATTTTTCTAACACCAATAATGCAGAGAGAGTTTACAAAAAATAAGATTTATCATACATACAAGTGTGAGAGAGCCATGCTTCGGCACGAATGGGCCGGCTCGAACGGAGTGATACCACGGTCTCACAGAAAACCGACATGAAGCAACGCTTGCGTTGTGTTTCGTCGTGTGAGTGCGGTTACCGGAGGTCCAATTACCTTCCCTTCCCCAATCTCCCCGATTCCTGAATCCCCAACGATCCTCAGACTCCTAATCCCCAAAAGGCCGGTAACGCACTTGTAACGCCTCTAGTGTTCCAGGTGTCCATGGGCGACGCCGATTGATTACCATGCATGCAACATGCTCGTTTACCGGCTTGTGCCATAAAAAAAATCAACATTAAACATTCCTACTACTAGTTAACAACCAGAACATTCTGGAACTAGGTAATCTGGTTTCCCTCTAAAGCCATAGTTGAAAGTTCATGCCAAGACGCATAAAGCAAAGGCTCGGTATACTTTACAACAAGCATTCCGTTCACAGATGATTTAAGGATAAAGTTTTTAAAGCCAGCCTTCAAGAACAATACTTTATTTAGAAGTTTGGGTTTTAGCCTCCCTGAATACCATTACCGCGTTAATTAGAAGCTCTAAATAATTTTATTTCAAAGGCATTGTTAGGTAAGAACTGGTTTTTTGTTCGGATATATGTTTAATGGATTCTGCTAGTTTTCTTATTCTAAAGTCCAATGGTATATTGAAAGCGATTTCTAAGAACATAGAAGTTAAAGCCGAATTAGCCCAACCTACCAAAAGTCTAATCGCAAATCAAACCATTGTACTTGCTACGGGCACATTGTGATCGCTCAACATAGGTTCATGGTCATATCGCCTTTCTATAGATAGCTTTACACCAGAGCCGAGTAAATTACATCTTAAACGAAACCCTCGCAGTTGCATTAAACAAGATATTTCAAAGACTGGACTGCAAATAAAATAAAATACTAATACCTCGAGGCAAGCTAGCGAAGATACGTCCGAAATAAAATAACTCAGCCATTTGCAACCAGAGAGGACAGAGCTAATGAGCGAAAATAACAAGGACTCGCCACCGACAGAATGAAATAAAAGACTTTACAATTCATTTACCAAATAAATGATCCGATTTCGAATTTACTGGTATCGTAAATGAATAAGGAAATAATTTACTACCGGTCTCCAACAGTCGTCCAGTAAATAACATGTTTTCTCTTATATAAACTAAATGCTATCTGCATGAATTGGGAATTAGGAGGGAATTTGTTGTTTTGATTTACTATTATTATTAGTTGTTGGTGGCTTTTAAATATTTTTAAAGTAAAATAAGGAAGATTTCCCTTTAGTTTGATTCATCACAAAAAGGTACTCATTTGTTATTTTTTCCTGACACAAAACCAAAAATAGCTCATGTAATTTTCAAACTTTTTTCTCTATTTTTATCAACACAGAGCTAAATGAAGAATTTCCATCCCAGCTTTTAGATCAGAGTGCGAAAGGCACTTCTAACTCAGGAAACAGGCTTGGAAACATTTTATCCAATATAAGTATATAACCCTCTCTCGGAGGTTTAAATGCCAAACACGTGAAAGCTGAAATAATTCAGGGGTTAATGTAACAAAGAAAAAAGGTATAAGAGACAAAATTGTTGACACAACGTCCACATGCTTCAACAAATAATAATAAGACTGATAGCCGTAAACACGGAACTAGGGATGCGCAATACGGGAATGGTCCCGGGATACGCTTTGTTCCAACAAATAAATTGTTTTATGAAGTTTGTTCCGCAGATGGGGGAAAGAAAAACAAGGATTAATAAACGAGTTATTCATGCGTTGGAGACTTACAAAGGATTCTGTATGACGTACTGTACAAAGGGACACGTTACGAAATGTCTGTTGCCTTTTTTCGTACAATATCTACGTAGTTTTTTTGGCTTGGGATCTTAGAATCGATTCGAGAGTAAGAGGAAATAAGGACTTCTTTATTTGTCGTTGTTGTAACTTTTTGAGTGTTGCATTTACTGCTAATTTCAATAAACTATCTTAATCCAAAATCTGTCTTTTTTTTTAAATACACTAGGATTTCTCCTGTGTCGTGGGTGCGTTTACAAACATACAAGTTCACATACACATGACACCCAGACCCGGAACAATAATCTATGGATCACACAAAGAGTTGTTCCGTGCGGGAATTGAACCCGCGACACATTGCGCAGCAGCCAGTTGCCCAGCCACCGCGCCAACCGATATCGATTATTGACAGGAGTTACAGACAGTACGGAGCTTCTGTCAAAAATCGACCTTAATCCACATATTTTGGATTACGATATGTTATAGAAATTGGCAGTTAGGGGGCCTGTTTTACAATATCTGGATACCTGTTATCTACCAGATAAATTTGAATTAAGAACGTAATTTGTATGAACTTGTGTGTTGCGGGTGTCCATGGGCGGCGCTGATCGCTTACCATCAGGTGATCCGTCTGCTCGTTTGCCTCCAATTCCATAAAAAAAAAAAAAGAACTATCTGTCACTTAGGTATCAGGTACTTATATAGAGGTTGTGAAACCGGCGCTAAATCTCATAAGTAAATGAAATCGTCGATAAATTATTCCCGTTTTTTTTATGGCATTAACCGGTAAACGAGCAGACGGATCACCTGATGGTCAGCAATCGGCGTCGACCATGGACACCTGGAACATCAGAGGCGTTACAAGTGCGTTAACGGCCTTTGGGGGATTAGGAGTTTGAGGATCGTTGGGGATTCAGGAATTGGGGAGATTGGGGAAGGGGAGGGTAATTAGGCCTCCGGTAACCTCACTCACACGACGAAACACAACGCAAGCGTTGCATGTCGGTTTTCTGTGAGGCCGTGGCATCACTCCAGTCGAGCCGGCCCATTCGTTCGGCAGAATCGTTGGGGATCCAGGAATTGGGAAAGGGGAGGGTAATTGGGCGTTTTGTCGGATATACCTCGATTTATCAACTATGACATTCGGAGCACAATAAAAGAACGATTGCACTTTATAAATACTTACAACTTTAATACTGATATACTGTTAATCTTTAGAACAAAAGTTACACCAAAATCATTTGTAATTACTAAGATTGTTACTTATTAATAAATGTTTTTTTGAATGCGTTTTCCAAATCTGCGATGAGATCTTCGGCATCTTCCAATCCAATCGAAATTCTGATCATTGAGTCTGTTATGCCAAGTTTAGTTTTCTGTAGTTGAGGAACCGTTTTGTGTGTCATTACCGCTCTGGAAATTATTGTATGAATATAACATAACATAACGTCACTGTATAGGATAACACTCACTTTTCACTATTAATGTTATGATTCCCCTGTATTAGGGGGTAAGCCTATTGCCATGTACCGGGCACAATTCTAAACTCCCATGCTAATACTGAGATTTTTTTAAAAATATTTTGCCCGACCCGGGAATCGAACCCGAGACCCCTTGCCTGGCAGTCACATTTGCGACCAATCGGCCAGCGAGCTAGTATGAATATAGTGTTGGTAAAATAAATGTATATAAGGAAATAATTTAGGTGACCTTAAAAGAGTTCGTAAGGGTCTGAAGAAATAATATTATGGTAGATCAGTACTTTTCGCTTTTTGCTCATAAAACGCACGAGGTTTCGTACTACAATGCGGCATGCGGGATATCCAATCGAACTCAAGAATAAAAATCATACAAAATTATCGTATTTCTTTCGTAACTCTTTCTTACGCTCCTTTCACCCGCTTCCTTCTTCGGTATTATCTATAATAAGTATCTGTATTTATTTCTTCTTTTCTTTTTTTATTTTGTATTATTTTTGTATCTGTGTGCGTGCCTACTGTCGAATAAATGCCTTTTCTTCCTTTTTTCTCTCTCTTTCTCCTTCTCTAGCTCTTCTGCATTCTTTCTAACTCTATACAAAAATCCAAAAAAAACAACTTACGGTATTTCAACTAAACTTTCGTATCCTCCTAAACTTTCAGCCACTAGGAATACTTTAAAGCACGTCAGGAGTTTTCTAGATTCTTCTAGTCCACCTGAGTGTTTGAAACTGAAGATCCCTGAGTGTCCAGACGTCTGTCTTTTGAAGATCTCATGTCCTTTGTGTGACTTTAGTCCTGGAACAATGTAAGCTTGAAATATACTCATATGAATAATAAATTCTAATATGATTAGCATGATCATCGTCATCACATGACGTCACAATTCTTACGTTATAGTTGATAACATAACATCACACCTTTTATCCCCGAAGGGGTAGGCAAAGGTGCATATTATGCCACTGTACAATGTAACACCCACTTTTTACTATTTATGTTATGAGTCCCATGTAAGCCTGCTGTCATATACCGGGCACAATTCCAGACTCTGTGCTACTACTGAGATTTTTTTTAAAACCCAGTAACACTTTACCTTACCCGGGAATCGAGCTCGAGACCTCTTGCCCAGCAGTCGCACTTACGACCACTTGGCCAACGAGGCGGTTATAGTTGTTATTTAGTAACTACCTACTTCCGGGCGTTTTCACCCATTTTACGCGGCGCCTAATTATCGTAGCGTGATGTTTTATAGCCTATAGCCTTCCTTGATAAATGTACTATCGAACACAAACAGAATTTTTCATATCGATCCAGTCGTTCCTGAGATTAGCGCGAACAAACAAACTCTTTAGCTTTAGGTACATAATAGTATAAGATAAGTAAAGTATTAAATTAATTAGGTACAATTTCAGACATATTTACTGAAGAAATAAAAAAGAAATGTCTTTTTCAATATGCAAATACTCGTCTAAAGTCTGATTCTAATTCTATCCAATCTTCATGTAATACAAGCGCTTTACCTGGATGATTAACTTCAATGACATTTGGATGCTTCTCCAGCCATTCAGCAACCAGCAGAGCCGTTGCCTTATGACGCTCCATTCGAAGAGAAAGAGTCTTCAAACTCCTATTGACTAAGTAACAGTCAAAAGGAGAAGGAACGCTTCCATGTGCTAAAAATATAAAACATATTAATCATTACATCATAATTGCTGATATCAGTGCAAGTATAGAAGATTGTCTTTCTTTAGTACCTGACGATGTATATACATTTCAATTGAATATTGCAAACTTCTATTAAGGAGGCCATACACGCTAGGTTATGCATGATGGTTATAACTGTGCATGCAAAAAGTGACTGTAAATATTTTTTTCTTTTTGCAGTCTGGTAAATAGAACTTAAAATATGAATTCACACTCACATTCTTGTACATATCTCAGATTGTCAGCAATTTCTTGTTTGTTCACTACAGCCGCCCCCATGACAACGTCAGAATGTCCATTCACATATTTTGTCAAAGAGTAGACTACTATATCAGCACCAAAGTCCAGTGGCCTTTGTAGGTAACACGTAAGGAAAGGTATTGTCACTACCACAATTATATTATCATTGCGCTTCTTCACTACTTGAACAGTAGCTGCAATGTCTATCACTCTGCAGTTTGGATTCGTTGGTGTTTCCAACCAGACTATCTGGAACAACCAAGTTGTATCAAGAATCTTTAAATAATATGGTTAGCCAATTAATTTAACGACAGAGTAACCTGTGGACATTATGGGATTTCTAGAAAAAGACTTTTAGTACCTAAAGAACTGTTTTTTCAATCGAAATATCTGTCAGAATACATTAAAGAATCGTCATCGTCATCGTCAATCGTCACATCACGCCTTTTATCCCCGAAGGTGTAGGCAGAGGTGTGCATTACGGCACTTAATACAATGTAACATCCGCTTTTCACTATTATGTTATAGTGAAGTCCCATGTAATAGGGGTGAGCCTATTGCCATATACCAGGTACAATACCAGACTCAGTGCATACTGGGGAATATTAAAAAAAACCAGAAGTCAACGAAGCAGTCAAATTAGATACGTATCGTCAAATACAGATTACTTTAGAAATTAATGAGTAAAAGGTTCGACAGATACGCTTTTTTAGTTCAAGGTTTTCTTATTTACACGTGGAGTACAAATATTTATTCTACTTATCATTCAATCATAGATAGGTTTTAAACACTGCTGTTGGTTGCTTCTGACGATGCATAATCATGATATATATATATCGACAATGGTCTGATTCCACAGGCTTGTGCCAGATTTTATCGTTTACTGTATCAGGTTGATAAACGTCATAAACCTTTCTTTAATTATTATAATTGATTTTGTAGTTTATTTCCTGATGTTTCTATTGTTACCGTGCAGGGTAATTTTGAAGGAAAAAATATTTTAATTACTCATGTTGGTTTTATGTTGGTTATAAAGCGAATATGAATGGACTGTCGGTAGAGACGGATATATCGACCAGATTGGCTGGTAATGTATTAACGAAGGGCAAATTTAAAACTACCCTTAACCGATGACATGCATGACAAGACTGATGACTAATGATGAAGCGAAAGAGGTGTCTAATAATCGTAGCAATTGGCATTTCATAGTCTCTGCCTACCCCTATGAGACAGGTTATTTAGATCTATGTTGTTGGTTCAATTCTCAAACAATGCTAGGTTACCTAGGTTAGGAAATGCTAGGGACCTATTAACACGATATTAGACCAAAGGTCTGGTAATCAAAAACTCCATTCTTTTTTATGAGGATCTCTTTAAAGAATGTCAAGTGATCTTACATGTTTAAGAGGAAAAAGCTCCTGACATACCTTGGTATTGTTTTGAATGGCATTTTCCAGATTCCTTACGTTTCGTACATCTGTGAATGTCAGATCAATTCCCAATCTTGGTAGATTTTCCCTGAAAGTGAATTCCCTTCTTAATTATATATTACTAATGCTAAAGCGAATCATACGACCTTCAATATTTATCAAATCTGATATTGATCATGATGACAAAGATAAACAAATAATCTTTTTGATCTGATTCTATCTTTGAAGATACTATCACATGCATAGTAGGTAATACATAACGATTAAGTGTTATACATATGTACAATATCTAGAAACATAGATTTTCATACTTGAAGTACTAATTACCGATCACATTCAATTTCCAATTGCCGATTTGGAATTCCGATATTTATTCTAGTACTTTCTATTACAAACTTGTTTCCTTTTCTCATTGTTTCATTATTTTCTAGACTTGACAATTACTAATTCTTTTATTTGAAGATACCTTCAGAAAGCGTGTATTTTTTTTAAGGGAGGAAAATCATCGAATGTCTGCTCCCGCCTGGGTGAGGCGGAAGGGAGTGTCAGACTCTTGCTGACTAAAAACCACCCCGTTCCTTCTCCTGCACGTCGAGCTGGAGCCCGGTTACCCGTTAGGTTCTCCGCGATAGAAAGCGTGTATTATTTTACATTTTTAAAGGAAATCAAAAATGCTAATCGACTATGTATGTAAAGTGACCAAATCCGCCGGAGACAAGATGCTAAGAACTGAATCCAGCTCAGTGTGGATATCTTCGAGAGGTCTATTGTCCAGCCGTAGACAAAATCAGACTGCTGATGTTGTGCAAATGTCGTGGTGGCCCGGAGGTTTAAGATGCCCACATCTCATGCATGAGGGTGTGGGTTCGAAACCTACCAACGGCAAGTACCAATGAGACTTTTTCCGAGTTATATGTACTTCCTAATATTATTTAGACACCACTGACAAACGGTGAAGGAAAAAAATCGTGAGGAAACCTGGACTTATAATTTCTAATTATAAGTTTGAGAACGCCAACCCGCATTGAGCAAGCGTGGTGATTAATGCTTTAACCTTCTCCGTGTGAGAAGAGGCTTTGCTCAGCAGTGGGCATTTATAGGCTGTTGATGATGATGATGAAGTTGAAATACAAAGCTTACCTCATAACCTGACCAGTGCCACCATATACATTGTCCATGGAAACTATATGGTCTCCTTTACTAAGTAAGGCTAGAACACTCATAATCACGCCATGACCAGATGCAAATGTAAACGCGTGTTTACCGCCCTCTAGCGCCGCGAGACATTGTTCTAGTGTGTCCCTCATTGGGTTCGCCGTACGAGAATATGTGTAGCCCTGGAAAATCAAGTCAGTTATATATTGGCGTGATTGTGAGTATAAATGAGATAATTTTTCTTAGTGTTGCTCAGTGATGTTTTTGACACTGGTTACAAAAAGTGATGGAATGCATTTAAAAGAATGAAAGTTCAAATATAAAAAGCATTGTACGGCTATGCCGCGTATTTACTCGACTTGGCAGGAGCATTAACGTACGCCCAAAGGGTTTGTACGACATTTTTTTACGTTTAACTTTCGTTCGGCATTCGGCTCTCTGATTGGCCTTCTTCAATGAACGAACCAATCATAGGGCCTGAGGTAAGCCGTCAGATCATTTTAGTTAGTAGTTTTAATGTTTGAATGGTTTCTATTATGTATTGTAAATGTATGAACTTTACTAAATTTCCATTAGATGGTTGTTTGTACATGGCAGTCAGCACGATGGGCGGCACTATCGCTCCATTCCATTGGTCTGGGTTCAAGCCAGCGTGTATAGACAGGGTTGCGAAGCCTGGTTTCCTCTTCAAGGGTCCTTGATCGTCCGCCATCTGAACATTGTCGGAAAAAAATAATATTTTTTTCATCATCATCATCATAACATGACGCCTTTTATCCCCAAAGAGATAGGCAGAGGTGTACTTTATGCCACTGTACAATGTAAGACCCACTTTTCACTATTTATGTTATGAGTCCCATGTAACAGGGGGTGAGCCTATTGCCATATACCGGGCACAATTTCAGACTCCGTGCTACTACTGAGATTTTTTTAAAACCCAGTAATACTTTGCCCGACCCAGGAATCGAACCCGGCAGTCGCACTTGCGACCACTTGGCCAACGAGGCAGTCATAATTAATTTTATTACGTTTCAAATATCAACATCTCTAGAAACACATACAGAATTTCTCAATGTAAAGACAATAATGTTCGTCTGATAACTAATTTATTATATTTACGCGTAAATCTGTAATGTAGGTACTAAATCGTGTAATGAATGTCGTTACATGCGTTTTGGCGATCGATGACCGTAAACGATAGCAGGCGTGTAGACTTGATAAAACTATCAACAGTAAACAGTAGGCTCGGCTGGCTTGCCCTTTATTTAAATTAGATTTATTTAATATGCGTCTATTTTGTTATCGAACTATGGAATTGTTAAGATAATACTAAGTTGTGCAGCGCAGATGGAGCACTAGCCGGGTAGCCGACTACTATTATGTGAATAAGCATAAAAATATATTACATAAGACGTGTCATTTATAGAGAATGTGAACCAACCCTTTCATTCATATTTTACATAATTATATTATGCTAAAGAATTTTTAAAGGATATATTGTTTAGAACACATTCCAAGTATCTATGTAGTTTCTAAAAATCATAAAAAATGAATATGATTGTATGACGTCATGTAAAAAAATTTGTATATTGTTGCAAAGTGTATATTTTATTACCTACTAAAAAAAAAAAAAAAAATGATGACTATTACCAGTAATTTAAAATATGACCCCCGTTAAAAATCTTCGAAGTAAATCAGCACAAACATTAACAAATTTCCAACAAAAAAAAATAATAAAAAAAATACTAAAAAAAACTTAGTTTACCTTATACAGCCACAATCAAAAAGTCACAATTACGCACTGATTCCAATTTTATTATAACATTGAACAAATGCAAGGTTTTTGATATCTTCTGCCTTTATATTGCTCCGGATTCGTTACATTAAGTTGGTATCAAAGTAATCACTCATATTGCAATTTACGCACTACTAAAGCGATATACATCAACAAAAAATTTAAAAAAAACTTTACTTACCTACAATGAGGTTTTATCAAAAAAAGTTCTAAAATAAAAATACTGTATGTAGGCAGAGGTGCACATTATGCCACTGTACAATGTAACATCCACTTTTCATTATTTATGTTATGAGTGCTATGTAATAGGGGGTGAGCCTATTGCCATATACCGGGCACAGTTCTAGACTCCGTGCCACTACTGAGATTTTTTTAAAACCCAGTAATACTTTGCCCAACCTGGGAATCGAACCCGAGATCTCTTGCCCGGCAGTCGCACTTGCGACCACTCGGCCAACGAGGCAGTCATAAAAATACTGCTTTGTTGTTATTGAGTAGCGGCATTTTTTTTGTTCCTCAATGACGTTGTATTTATAATAGAGGTAGACACATATGGACAAAAGGTGGATTGGATCTTATAACGGTATTTCATGGCACAAAGACATTTCATATATAAAGTTCCTGATTTAAGTTGTACAAATAAAAATTGCAAAAGCATTTTTATAATTTTTATGGGTAAGTAATCCCTTGTTCATTGTTGTGTTTGTAATTTAAAAAGTTTCTGTTAAAATGTAATAATAATACCAAATATTCCTCATTTTAAACTGTCAAACACCAAGCGGTCACCGGTGACCGCGACCTATTGTTCTTTAATTGTGTCTATAAAACCGGTACTCGACGAGTTAAACAACACTGGTATTTACCCAAAGAAACTAAAAAAAAAATGAACAAAAAAACGCAAAAAAAAAAATATCTAAGCCAAAAATTCACTGTTGTGGTGAAAAGTATCTTCAAAGAAACTGTTCTAACTATAAGTATATATTTATAAACATGTAACACACACAACTATAACTATACTACCCATGTATTTAAACAAATAAAAAAACGAAAAAAAGGGCCTTTGTATTTTTTTTACATACGTTGATTTAATCGAGAATGTTCGATATGATCTGAAATGTTTAAAAATAGGCACACAATTTAATACGCGTAACTTTTTCTGGTCACTGGCCAGTAAAAAAATAACACATGGAAAAAAGAGGATAAATGAAGGAATGTAGGATGTATAGAGCGCCCAGATTAGTCATTTTAATATTAACAAGATTTAATCGTGCAATATTTTATAACATTGTTCGATAAAACACTTTTACGCAGCATCGAGAATCAAGGCAATATTTCATAATGAACAGACCAACCACATACAAGGGTGCTCAAAAACCAGACGTTAGTCAATATTTTTTTTTTTTCAATACAAAACTTGCTAAAATATTAAGGAATTTTTACATCATAAAAATATTAACAGCGAGCTTCAAAAATTGACCAGGCGCTCGATAGATGGCGTTGGGATCGAGATAGATCGCGCTATGGTTTCGTTACACGCCAGAGTACAAGTATCCGCGCCGGCCGCTCTACAGTCGATCTTTCCAAAGGTTAACGGGGAATGATGATCGGATTGGACATGCGGCTGCATGATGTCCGTCGCCGATTGTTACGCTTTGGCGGGCTAAAATCCTACTGACCCCTAAATTTGAGAAAGATCCTTTATAAAAATTATCTAAAAGACTGTAAATGTAAATCGTATTACTAAACTTTAAAGTTAACCTTAAAAGTTAATAGTTAGGTTATGAGTTGCAAGTGCCTTAGTTAATGCGATTTTTTACTTAAAATTAGTATGGTATTTAGAGGTATAATTAAATTTAAACAAATAATTTCAAAACATAATACTGAGGTAAATGATTTATTATTATTTTAAAAAGTGGTGTCTGCCCCTGGTGAAAAAAATAAGCAATATGTTTTTATGATACTGCATGCCATACTATTTTCGAAAGGCGCAAAAAGTTTTTTTCACCAAAATATTTATATTAAATTATTAATATAATTGTCTCGTTGGTTGAATGGGTTGTAATAAGCATGATTACAATATGAGAAAAGGCTAATTCGGTTCCCTATTCGAAGAAATATATAACTTTCTAAAATTAAAGTTTTAAAGATGTTTGAACAAACTAAAAAAATTTACCGACGTCGATTTTTTTATATGTATAAAAATAACATAACCAATATAAATTTCACAGCCATATAAAAAATATCATTCTCATATTATTTATCTAGTTTGACATGATACACATGTGCGTGCGTACTGTAAGATCTGAAAGAAACAAGCAATACTTAAAAAAATACCACGAGAAAGCAATTTTAAAATTTTAGAGATCACACAAAAAAACAAGTATATAAAAAACATGCCTTTATTAAACCTATTACATAGTATTATAAGTAATTTTACTACACTTTGGAACGAGCACCAAGCGTCATTCAAAGACAGACACACTATTCAATTTCATTGTTTCAAAAGTGCCCAAATACTATAACTTTAACAAAACCCTATCTTAAACCTGTACCTCTTTAAGTTTTGACGTTTATCACCTAACCTAGTTATTAAAGGTTTCTTTGAATGCATTTTCCAAATCTTTGATGAGGTCCTCCGGGTCTTCCAATCCAATGGAAAACCTGACCAGGGAATCTGTGATGCCAAGCTGAGCTTTCTGTGGTGGGGGAACTGATTTGTGGGTCATTATCGATCTGCAAATAAAATGAATTCATTTTGAATTAATACCACCGTATCTTTAAGGATAATCATCTTGATGCAAAAAACATTTTTTGACAAATTTAAAAACGTAGAATTGTGTAAATTGTAAAAAAAATATCAATTTTTTTTTCAGTTCATTTGATTGTAAATGAACTAATCGAATCAAAAATCGATCAGATTTTTTTACAATTAACATCGTGACTTAGTGCGACGGTTTTGTTTAAAATATACAATTATGGTTAAAAACAAAACTTACGGTATTTCAGCCAAACTTTCATATCCTCCTAAGCTTTCAGCCAATATAAAGACCTTGAAGCAACTCAGTAGTTTTCTGGACTCTTCCAGACCTCCTGTATGTCTGAAGCTGAAGACTCCTGAATGACCAGACGTTTGCCTCTTGGAAACCTCATGTCCTTTGTGTGTGGTCAGGCCTAAAATAATTAAACCCTCATTAAATACAATACACTTAATTTGAAACTCATGAATATAATTTACTGCCAAATCTGTCAAACCAATTTATTGTCGAACTAGGCTAGGTTTTTACGTATCAATGCTTGGCAATAATTTGTAATTTCGGAACAATTATACGACAAAAATAACATAATATAACAACCCGTATATCCTTAAGCGGTCACCGGTGACGGCTCTCCACTAACTACATTATAGACCTTATTTCCAATGTATAGAGACTACTTTTTGACAATTTGTTAACAACACAACCACGTTGTATCCACGTGGTGTTTTATTATTTATTTTATTTATTTACACTTCATGTAGGTATACAAAGGCGGACTTAATGCCTAGTGGCATTCTCTAACAGTCAACCTTAGGGTGATGCAGAGAGACACAATAATAGGTGCAAACGTTTAACACTTGTGAGTTTTGAGTTTTGAGTTTTATTTTGTCTTTGCATTGTATCTATCTTCGTAAAAGTCTATTTAATTTTTTTTTTTCATTTTATTCTACTTTTTTTTTTAAGGGGGGAAAATCATCGAATGACTGCTCCCGCCTGGGTGAGGCGGAAGGGAGTGTCAGACTCTTACTGACTAAAAACCACCCCGTTCCTTCTCCTGCACGTCGAGCCGGAGCCCCGGTTACCCGTTAGGTTCTCCGCGACTATTTTATTCTACTTTGCGGTCATTTAAAATAAATTACCTGGATGCAAAACTTCAATGACATTCGGTTGCTTCTGCAGCCACTTAGCAATAACTAAAGACGTTGCCTTATGACGTTCCATGCGCAAAGAGAGTGTCTTCAAACTCCTGTTGACTTGGTAACAATCAAATGTTGATGGAACAATTCCCAGCGCTGGAAAGATAAGATAAATTATAAATAAATCTTTACTTCTATCTTCAATTCTTGAGTTCAGTGTTATTTTCGACTTATCATCTATTTGATTAACGATGTCCTTCAAACCTATCTGTGTAACTGTGTTGGTTTTTATGCAATCAAGAAAACCGGCTTTATTATTTTGTTCCATCATATGATCGAAAATTATCAAGTTGTTATTTGGATCTAGTGTTTTTAGTGTTGTCTATTACTGACCTATGATACCATATCTATTATTACTGTGCGTTATATCTTTTATAACTTTTCCGTGTTTGTTTCTAATATTGCTTATTTATCACTGAACCTTAAATATTTTAAGTTTTACTCCACATTTGCTTGCTTATCCCTCTTCTTTGAAGTATGTATCGCTCAAATAAGGTTGGGAGAGCCATGCTTCGGCACGAATGGGCCGGCTCGACCGGAGTGATACTACAGCCTCACAGAAAACCGACGTGAAGCAACGCTTGCGTTGTGTTTCGTCGTGTGAGTGAGGTTACCGGAGGCCCAATTACCCTCCCCTACCTCAATCTCCCCAATTTCTGAATCCCAAACGATCCTTAAACTCCTAATCAACAAAAGGCCTGTAACGCACTTATAACGCCTCTGGTGTTCCAGGTGTCCATGGGCGACGCCGATTGCTTACCGTCATGTGATCCGTCTGCTCGATTACCGGCTTATGCCATAAAAAAATCTTTATTCAAATACAACTAACTTCTTATGGTTTTATTCAAATACTTACATTTCTGTATAATCCTAAGTTTGTCAGCAATTTCTTGGCTGTTAAGTACAGCTGCTCCCATCACAACATCAGAATGCCCATTCATGTATTTGGTCAGAGAGTACATTACTATATCAGCCCCGAAATCCAGTGGCCTTTGCAAGTAGCATGTGAGGAATGTATTGTCGACTACTACAATGATATCACCACGCTTCTTCACTAATTGGACAGTGGCAGCAATGTCTACTACGGTGCAGTTAGGATTTGTAGGAGTCTCCAGCCAGACCATCTGGAAATAATGTGTTCTGTAAGGCATTGTTGCAACGTTTTGCGATAGATCTTAAGCAATTACTATATATCTATAAGGATAATTAACTTTACTGGAGGACTGACTGACATTTTTTTGGATGTTCAAAAGTGCCATGTATTGTTCTAATAGGAAAAAATGATTTAAATTTGACTTTAAAAATAAATTGAAAATCAGATATCAGATCAGTCCAAGGGTCAGACTGTGGTACAACATTTTAAAAAACCCTGTTAACTATTCTCTATTAGACTTCATTTAAAGTCGTTCTTATATTGAATGCTTCCTTATGCTCAATTTTTTCTAAATCAATCATGTGTGTGTGTGTGTATCACTCATCATGTGAGTTCCCTCCTTTTGAACATGTCACAACTTTTCCATTAGATCGTGATGCAGATAACATGTTTTTGATAATATTATACATTTGTTATCAAAATCTAGGCCTATGTATAAAGGTATGTACTTATAATTTTAATATCATTCAGATTAGATTTGAAAAACATTTAGACTTATTATGTAAATATTTTAATCTTAATTACTTTGCTACGTACCTATATTTTTAAATGGGTATTTTTATCTAAGTGCATTGCTGGTCACTAACGTAGCGACTGATTATTAATCAGTTGTATATTAGTAGTTCTAGAGACTTAAAACTAGTCTCTAATTACCCCCTCGGCTCACGTTATTTTACCAGCTTTTTGTATGAAAGTATACCTTGTAACTTACCTAATGATAGGAAATCTATAATTCTAGTTACATTTATTAACCTTAGCGGATATAGCTAACATCACATGAAGCTGAAATTTTTACTTCTCTTTTCAACATTAAAACATTCATTTCCTACGCATTATTTTCAAAATTTTCGTTAAAAGAGAATACCCAAAAAACCCAGAGTCGATTAAAATCATTCAAACCATAACCGAACCAGGAGCCTCCATAATAAACTGGTTATTTTTCTTTTACTTGGTGACTGTTCCATCGAAAAATGTCTATCCGTGTCATGTCATGTAAGAAAACCGAGATTCAGAGAACAATTGTTTTAACATTCGTCCATAGATGGCGCTTTTTATTTGGGACCTTTTTCTGAAACGCGTTGTTAAGATTCTCCGCCAATACTATAAGTATCTCTCAACTCGTCGAGTACCGTATTTATATACACAATTAAAGAACAATAGGTTGCGGTCACCGGTGACCGCTTGGTGTTTGACAGTTTAATAATCAGTTTTACATAATTGCACCAATGGTTGAATGTCGAATGGCATCACTGTATATAATTTTGTTAATGTATCATTTTATTTATCGAGTAGATAGAAGACAATAATTCGAAATACAAGTGTTCGGTAACCACTACCAAGTACTTTTATTTAAATCATTAATCAACCCCCATCTTAACCCTTATGATAGCGAGGGTTATCCAAAAACATTTATTGCATTTAGAATATAAGTACTAGGTACATATCTGTACCTTGCCACATATAAATTAATTTAAACTGTCAAATACCAAGCGGTCACCGGTGACCGCGACCTATTGTTCTTTAATTGTGTCTATAAAACCGGTACTCGACGAGTTAATCAATTCTGGGTAGTTACTGCATACAGTTTTAGGCACAGTCCTCTTCTTTTATTTTTGTTTTAAACGTACCAATCTGAGACAGCTGATTGTATCACCAACTCATATGTCAAGCATTATCATTGGAACTGTACCAATTTGTTAGTTTTGTTACCAGCATTTTATCACTAACTTTAAACTCGTGTTTTCCGTGAATCCATGTGACTTCCAACGCCACTTGTCAGTAATGTCCAAGATAAACTTGGAACATCTAAATGAATTTAAAACGTTGTTTGTTTCTGTTCTTGCCAAGTGTCGAGTCTATTTCTTAAGACTTAAGAGACAATGTTTTAGAGCCAGAAGGAGTAGATAAACTTTCAGTTATTTTCTGTTGTGACGCAAATAGATTGAAGGCCCGACGGTTTGAAGTTCTATCACTTACTGCGATATTTAAAGACATTTAGTGATTACTTATACTATTTCTTAGTAACGATTTCGTTCCAAAAACAATAGGGTAGTTTCCAGGGTATCAAAATTAAAATAATTAGTCCGTCAGTTAAATAAAGAAAAAATATAAGACACGTATTTTTTTATTTTCTCGCATTACGTTGCAATACTTAGATAAAATGGCGCTAAGTTTAGGAGTGAGGGTCGTTACGTCATAACGTGCTATAAAATGTGGCACGCTGTGACGTCACACGATATTTCAAATTAATATATCGTCGAAAGTATTTAATTTTGTGAGAAAAGAAAAAATACCTGTCTAAAGTTTTAAATTAATGTACCAGACGGATATTAACTGACTGGGTTAAGAAGACATTGAATGACTCTGAGTACGGCGGTTAGTCCTACAAAATATTACTGAGTTTTCTTCTCATCAATTAATAGTGCAATTGTGAGAAAAGTTTAAAATAAATACCTTAGTATTATCTTGAATAGCATTTTCCAGTTTATCCAAGTCTGTAATGTCTGTAAACGTGACGTCAATGCCATGTCTTGGTAGATTTTCTCTGAAATCCAAATAATACTATCATTATACGTTCAAAGATCAAGACGTGTACTAAAAAAATTTGAACTAAAGATTTTGCTACGATATTAAAAAATTGAAATAAAATTTTGGATACATGACGTACATACACATTAATATATTCAGCATCAAAGAAAATTGTTTCTATCAATATGCTGATTAAATAAAATTCTTACCTCATCAATCGGCTGGTACCTCCATATACGTCATCAATAGAAACCAAATGGTCTCCCTTATTAAGTAGAGAAGTAATACTGGTGGTCGCTCCCTGGCCTGATGCAAAGGTGAACGCATACTTAGCGCCCTCCAATGCCGCGAGACATTCTTGTAGGGTGTCCCTCATGGGTTGGCTGATCGGGAGTACACGTAACCCTAAAAAATGCATAAAATTATTTAGTAACTTCGTAAAAATTAAATCAAGTTTACTATTAATAGATAGTCCACAAAAGGACGATATTTTTATCAATTATGCACTATAGCATAAGATTTAAAAAAAAATGAAATTGAAATATGAAGAATGAAAATTCTCAGCTACCCGTTCTGTCATTAGCTCACTCAGTGAATTTTTTAAGGTTCGAAAAAATTAAACCTTAATTAAAAAAAACGTAAAAAAATATTTGATACGATTTTTCAAGACATTTCGGACATTTTTTACTTTTAAAATTTATTTAAATAATAAACATGTATTTTACAAACAAAAACAAGTATCGCCTACCTTATGTCCCTCAGGAGCCTGTTTGTACATAGTGGACATCACGACAGGTGGCACCACTGCTCCATTCCATTTGTCAGGGTTTTGACCAGCATGGACAGCTATGGTCGCAAACCCTGGCTTCGGTTTCTGGAATCCTTGCTCGTCCGTCATCTCGAAAATTAAATATATTGACTATTATTTCATAATACACAAACCTTTACCACCCATAATTTAGTATCATAATTTCTGGTAAAAAACAACAACGATTTTTATACAATAGGTAATATAATATAACATAATAATAAGTATTAGTAAAATATTTTTAATACGCTGTCCAAGCGTACAATCATTTAAAAAGATACAAATATTACATTCAAATAAAAAACTATTTACGAAAAACAACAACAAAATCAGCTGTCAGTTGTCACCGAAGCACATCTAAAAATAGTACGAGTACTAATTCCTTCAAGGTGAAGATCACATGATGTTAACAAAATATTTTTAACAATAAATAAATTAACCAAACATTTACAATTTAACAAGAAAATAAAAATATCATACCTTTAATTTCTGGAATATTTTTTTATATTTCTATTTATAGTGGCACAGTCGCCGGGTTTGAGTTACAATAACAACTGACTGGCTGGAGTTCGATATCCGACCTCTTTATATTGAGGCATGCACCATCCGCAGTGTGATGTCCATATCAGATCGATCACATTACATTACACAACAATTCTCAATAAATAAACAAAACAAAACCTTCATTTAATTTAAAAATCGTATTCATTTTAAATGAAAAAAAAGTAATACCTACAAAAAAAATATTACACTTATTTATTTAAAAAAAGAATATTTAAAAATTTGAAATAACGTATTCTATTTTTAGAGTAAACAACAGTTATCAGCTGTTGAAAAAAACAGTAGTATTTTTATCTCTTATGCGTATGGAAAGATTGGAATATTTGGGAACATTTTCGATAATCACGAGTGATGATATCGGACAATATGTTGTATTGTATAGAGTACAGTTATCACACGGTTATCAGTAAATAAGTTGAAAGTACTCAGTGTGGGATGAGGGTGTGTTTAAAATAGCTAATGATATCATAATATTGTACTCTGTTTTGTTTGAAAAGAATGCGATATGAGAACTATCGCGTGGTTCGCATATGCGATGTCATGTGTTTGTGAACAAATGTATTATTTTAATAAGTAAGTATTTATTCTTAGTTCACATATTAATTTATTGTGTATGTCACATGTATGCCGTGGTGGCCCGCAGGTTTAAGACGCCCGCTTCTCATGCATGAGGGTACAGGTTCAAAACCTTCCAACGGCAAGTACCAATGTAGCTTTTTCCGAGTTATATGTACTTTCTAAGATTATCTAGACACCACTGACAAACGGTGAAGGAAAACATCGTGAGGAAACCTGGGCTTATAATTTCTAATTATAAGTTCGTAATCGCCAACCCGCATTGAGCGAGCGTGGCGATTAATGCTCATACCTTCTCCGTGTGAGAAGAGGCTTTGCTCGGCAGTGGGCATTTATAGGCTGTTGATGAGATGATGATGATGATGACATATTAATTACAAGAATCTTATTTTTACTGAAACAGAAAAATTTTTGACACACGACTATAATTTTTCCAACACCACCAGGACGCACCGGCCTCTATTTACGACATTTATAATTTGTTAGTCATTAGGATCTTTACGTCATAACTGATTCCAAACCTGTGGTGAAAGAAGAAAAAAGAAGAAAGAAAGAAGTTTTTGTTTTATGGCATAATCCGGTAAACGAGCAGATGGATCACCTGATGGTAAGCATTCGGCGTCGCACATGGACACTTGGAACACCAGAGGCGTTACAAGTACGTTACCGGCCTTTTGGGGATTAGGAGTTTGAGGATCGTTGGGAATTCAGGGATTGGGGAGATTGGGGAAGGGGAGGGTAATTGGGCCTCCGTTAACCTCACTCACACGACGAAACACAACGCAAGCGTTTTGCTTCACGTCGGTTTTCTGCTCGGCCGTGGTATCAATCCGGTCGAGCCGGCCCATTCGTGCCGAAGCATGGCTCGCCCACAATTTTTAATATTCTATGGAGACGGACTTTAGACCCGTTTATAATAGAGCTCTTACTAAATATAGATTCCATTTATTTATCAACCGTTATCTTACTTTCAAAATAAATATTGTCGAAACAATAAATAAAAGCCTGTGTACCTACCTAATATGATAAAATTCTGTGATAAAACGGGACTATGGTTAAACGGGTGGAATAAAAAACAAATACCCACGGAATATTCAATCATTTACATTCCCTTACATTACTCTTGAAAGTAAATTCCGACATTCAAGCATTTACGATTTCTTATTCAATACGTAAGTAAGTAAATAATTCCCGGGAGATTTCCCGGTATCTCCCAACCCTATTGAGAGCGTAATAAGGTAAGAGTATGAAATGAGAAGCGAAAAAGCTTGTATTTTAGACCTAATGAACACAATCGTCCGGGCACAAGCCTTTCGAAAAGACTATTGTTTTTTTACCCCTTATTTACTTAACCTAACAAACGAAATCCGACTCTATTAACTTAGTTTTTGGTTCTATTTAGACAAATACATTTCGGTGGTTATAACTTTTTGACATGGGGTTGAGCTCTTTAATAGTATGGGTAAAAGATTAGTTTAGCTAATTCTAATTGGTATTATAAGGAAGTAGATGTTTGTTCTATTATGAAATGTCACGGTCGTTTATTAATCTGTGGACTTTGTGGACAGTTGATTGGCTGTTGATTGAATCTTATTGTTGTAATGTCACTAAATTGACGCACTCTATTGGTGGACCACATGCTATATAAATACTAATCATAGTATTTATATAGCATGTGGTAAACACACTGTATATCAATACAGTGTGTTCAAGATTATAAGTAATCGAAATTGCGTTACTAGGACAAGTAAGGCATTTCGATTACTGATTATCTTGAACAATTACTTATTATCGATAACGGTAAAAGTGACCTATATAACTGTGAAGTCTGCCTCGTTGGCCGAGTAGTCGCAAGTGCGACTGCCGGGCAAGGGGTCTCGGGTACGATTCGCAGGTCGGGCAAAGTATACTGGGTTTTTTTAAAAAAAATCTCAGTAGTAGCACGGCGTCTGGAATTGTGCCTGGTATATGGCAATATGCTCACCCCCTACTACATGGGACTCATAACATAAATAGTGAAAGTGGGTGTTACGTCTGTGTGCACCTCTGCCTTCGGGGATAAAATGCGTGATGTTATGTTATAACTGTAAAGGTATCTACACTTAACAAGTACGGCTACGGCTCAGCTCAAGCACAGTTTCGGCACGGCTTATTTTAATGACGTTACGAAATAAATCACACGAAATACAATTTAGGTTCATATTTAAATCACAATAACTTTGCTGGGTTAGAGCCGTGCTTGCTGGTGTACTATAACCTTAAAACCTCAAGTGAATCAATCTGTAACTAACCGAGATCATCTAACTGTACCTATCCTGTACCTTTAGCCAAACGCCACTTTAGCGCTTGTCTACAAAGAGCGTAGAAAACTAAATGTATGCGGATGACACTGACAGGTGTCAAAATTTACGTCAATTCCATATAATTTGGTTTTCTATTCTACATGTAGACAAGCGCTAAATGGCATTTGGCTACAGGTGCTGAAATTCATAAATATGAAACATTACGTTTCCGATTCACAAAGCCAGCGACAAGTTACTTCAAACGAATGGAGACAATTAATAGTATCTTCAACACTTGAACATTTTACACATCCCAACACCAACAGCCTGAGAAAGGTTTTTTACAAAAAACAACCTTGAATTAAAAAAACAGAGTCCATTTTTGAGTGAGCCAAGTTTGACAGATGCACAGTGTTGCTTTCCACTTTTCGAGAAAGCCAACATTCGGTAGCAATGTGTGTCAGAGTAAAAGCAATTTGTACACAAACGAGTGCACAGTGCTTCCGAGTGCATTCAAGTCGATCGCGTACATTTGTTCTTTCAAAGTAATCGAGTGTGGAGCACTGTGCAGTGTGCACTTTAACTGCCGTAGTTACATGGACGTACCGACTTCGACGCTGCGGATGAAGGAAATAAAAATAAAAGTAGTTCCTTGTGTTCTAGCCACATGAACAATCGCTAAGTCGTTTCAATACAGAAACTATGAAATTTTTTGCCCTACTGAAACCAAAAAAAAAAGTCATCGTTGATTTTTTTCATTACAAGTAACTTACCGAGTCGTAACCTAACCAAACACTTATCACCCTTTAACTGAACAAGCGAATTAATATAATTAAATTACTTACATTTTCCAACATGGCCGCCACGTTTTACATCAGCAACCGATGTTATTCAATTGTTATTTCCAATTTGTTATTTTATTGAAAACCCTGTCTTGTTTAATTATGTAATGTTTAGGTACATTATTTTGTATACCTAATTAATTATTTTGCTTTTGAGTGTCGATTTTTTGTTTATTTTATTGTTTTCAATCGCGATAAACTGCATGCAAATTATATTTAAATTTTAGTTAGAATAATAACATGTAGTAACAACATAAAAAACCTTAAATTGTTAAAAGAACTGGCAACCACTGCAATCCTGTTTTTAAAATGAAAACTATAGACTACAACTAAGTAAGTCTATAGTTTTCATTTTAAAAACAGGATTGCAGTGGTTGCCAGTTCGGATTTAATATTGTAAACATTATATTTCTTAGTACAGGCCCCCTCATTCCCCAATCTCCCCAATCCCTAATCCCCAACTATCCTTAAACTCCTAATCCCCAAAAGTCCGGTAACGCACTTACGTAACGCCTCTGGTGTTCCAGGTGTCCATGTGTGACGCCGATTGCTTGCCATCAGGTGATCCGTCTGCTAGTTTGCCGGCTAATGCCATAAAAACCTTATTATGTTTTCGGCTTACTCACGTAATAATTCGACGAGGAACTCGACTATTTCAAGCCATGCTAGTGGCTCATATTCATGAGCAGCAAATCGCGACCCGCAACGCGGCGACTGTCGCGTTCGGCGTTGCCACTGAGCATGGCTTGAAACTAGTCGAGTTCCTCGTCAAATTATTACGTGAGTAAGCCGAAACGTTAATAATTAAAAAAGAACATCGAATACCTTT